TTTATTTATTTGACAGAGAGAGACACAGCGAGAGAGGGAACACAAGCAGGGGGAGTGGGAGAGGGAGAAGCAGGCTTCCCAGGGAGCAGGGAGCCCGACGTGGGGCTCGATCCCAGGACCCTGGGATCATGACCGGAGCCGAAGGCAGATGCTTAACGACTGAGCCACCCAGGCGCCCGTAATAGAACACATTCTTGAGCCAAACGTAACAGATAACAAGAGCACCTCCTTCTCGTATTCTGTTTTGTTTTGTTTTGTAGTATGCTCCACACCCAGGGTGGAACCCAAGGCAGAGCTTGAACTCACGACTGCTGAGATCAAGAGTTGGATGCTTACCTGACTGAGCCACCCAGGCGCCCTTCATATACTGTTTGCATGTAAATCCCTTAAACTTAGATATTTGTCTCTATTAACTCCTAAGACCTTCAGTCATAAGCAATCACACGAGAAAGAATCTTGCTTTGCGTGGCGCTGAGCCATTTCTTCTGCCACATGCCCCCATGTGTAAAGATATATAAAAATGAAAATCCCCAGTTCTTGCCTCAATGGACCCAAGTTCCAGGGACCACACATGCCAGTTAAATAATTAAAATAGCGCTAACTGAACACTTCAACTATACCACCTCCCTCGGGCCTCACTGCCCTGCGAGGGGTGCCGTGGTCACCCCCTTGACACGCGAGTGCACACTGGCTTGCAGCGTGAATGGTTCCCTGGCGGTCACGTGCCCACGTGGGGTGGCCAGACCCCTGGCGCTTTCTTCACCCCTGTCCCCTGTGCCCAGAGTGGGAACTACAGGCCCAGAGCCACGCATGTGCCCTTCTCAGGCCTCCTCCCTTACAGATGACACAGCCATGCTTACAACTGCCTGATTGCCTGTGTATCACAAGGCTGCCATGACAAAAAGTGACAAAGTCCTGTCTCTTCGAGGACCTCAGCTGGGTCTTTTAATGAAACTTGTTCTGGGCCAGCATCCATCGTGATCTTTGTGCGGCTCTGCACACACTCCCTGATTCTATCTGACTCACATAGTTCTAGATAGTATCTCCAGTTCTTTTTGTAGATGATGTGTCATAGAATGTCATCATCTGTTGGTCTGGCCTGACCCCAGTCTGTTAAAACACACGGTAGGAGAGGCTTCGGCGACGTGGCCCAGCTACAGAAGTTAACCACCCCACTCTGCAGGGCCTGAGTCCGGGCAAACACAAGCAAACCCAACCTGCACCACGGGTGCGTGGCTCTGCTTTGGGAGCAGATTCAGTGTGTGCCTAGGGCACATGCCTTCTGCAGAAGATCAGAACTGATTTCCCTGGCCCCTCTGCGCACCGCCACTTGGGAGAACACACAAGGCGGGCACAGAGCTGGGCTGGTGAGATGAGAAACTCTCCAGAAAGGACCAGGCGATCCAAAGGCTGGTGAGAGCCTCGGGGGGTGGGGGGTGTCCTTTTGCAAGCAAGGCTGTAGCTGACCCACCCCAGCCTGGGGCCAGGGGTCCCAGATTCTGCCCCCTTGGGTGCTGGGACGACAGGAGTCAGGGGTCAGTGACTCTCTGCCCTGACAGCCTGTCTAACCCGCCTCCCTCTCGCTGCTCTTTCAGCCCTGTTTCCTGCCTCAGTAGAGAGGCAGCCGAGATGGCCACTGCTGAGCTTTCTAGTGCCTTTGCTGAGAGACTGTTGTGGAGCTCTGTGCTTACTAATGTACAGACGGTAATACCAGTGGAAAGGGCAGGGGCTGGGCAAGGCAGGGGCCCGGGCCTTGGGAATGATGCCCAAGTCCCGGCAGAGCGAGGTGATGCCACCAGAAGCGATCCTCAGAGACCTAGTCCACCCGTGACCCCCACACGCCGCTGAGCCTCTGCGGCCTGGAGAGGTACCCGTGTTCAGGGTGGCAGAAGGCGCCGGGACGGCAGGGTGCTGCTGTGCACGCCGCCCAGCTCGGCTGCACCCCTGTGGCCACAGGGACACGGAGGCCTTGGCGCTCCCCCTGGGTGGCAGCCCATTCAGGCAGGCCTCACCTAGGAGCAGGAACACTTGGAGGGGCAAAGCTGGGACAGAGATGGCCCAAAAAGAAAGCAAGATACTGAAAGACCATTTTTTCTCTTCTGCAGGTTTTCAAGTATAGTCCTTAAAATCCAAGAGGATTTGTCCATGGATAAAGAGCTATAGGCTAAGAGATTCTGCAAGTTCCCAGCTATTTTTGTATGTTGGACATGTTACCCCTTTAAAAGCAACCAGAAATAAAAGCCTTTAAGCATTTTGAGGTGCAGCCAGTCAGTGATCTAGGGGTTGCCTGTGGGGAGGTTGCCCAGGTGTGGCCAAGGGAGGCATTAGAAATGCCCCTTTCACAAGTGCCTGATTTGCCCCCCCTGGACTGGACAGGAAGTGCACATGAAGAAAATCAAATGGCTTCCAACGGCCACTTGCGGGGGAAGCCCATAGATGGCCCCTAAAGCCCAGAGTTTTGTGCACACCCCCTGAAACAGTTCCTCATGTGTGGCTCACCAGAAAGGGAAACTGGGGGGTGCCTGGGTGGCTCAGTCGGTTAAGCGGCTGCCTTCGGCTCAGGTCATGATCCTGGGGTCCTGGGATTGAGCCCCACATCCAGCTCCCTGCTCAGCGGAGAGCCTGCTTCTCCCTCTCCCTCTGCCTGCCACTCTACTTGTGCCCTCTCTCTATCTCTCTGTCAAATAAATAAATAAAATATTTAAAAAAAAAAAAAGAAAGAAACGGAAACTGGAAGGGTCCCTGTGCAGATTCCAGAGCCTTCCACCTTCACCCGAACCTCGGAACCCTAGCAGTAGGGAAAGGGACTGTGGGAGACCCCCAGGGGTCCTGCTCGCCTGCAGGGCTCTGAACCCTGCACCTATGTTGGTAGATTCTTTCATTTTTGTGTGAATTCCTTGGAGGAGTCCTGGGTGAGCACCCAGGCCTGGCCTGGCCCATTGTGGGTGCACTGTTTGAATCTGAAGCCTGCCTCTTCAGGCCCCCATGCACATGCTCTTTGAAGAGTTGGTGGGTAATTCGGCTTTTCTGGTATGGCCGCCAGCTCCATGGCCTCTGGCCCCCACCACCCTTGGGCATCGGTGTCATCTTGCTGGGTGGTGGGGGGGGAGGGTGGGCAGGCTTCAGAGTCAGCCTCTTGAGTCCAGAGCATGGTTGAGAAAGCTCCGTATGGCCCATAGACCCCGTAGGCTGCAGTCAGTCCCAACCCTCCCGCCCCCTCTGCAGGCTGAGGCTCCAGACTCAGTCCCACTGACCCTCCTCCCACCCCGGGACCTGGCCGACTGCCCTGGGAGGGGAAAGGGAAGAGCCGGGGAAGGAGCCATTGAGGGGAGAAATTAGGCCGCGGCCGCACTTGCTGTCTTTGGTTCTGTGCCTGAGGTCACGAGGCATATTGATTTTCTGACTGTTTCCCAGCAGCGCGAGGGGTGGAGAGAAAGCACGAACACTGCATCGTGAAAACCTGAGCTGCAGTGGGCGCTGTGAATTTGCCAACACAAGGCAAGCTCAGGCAGGGCACCCTCGCCCCACGGGCGGCACTCATGCTGGAGAGTGTCGGAAATGCCTGGGCTTTGTCTTACGCTTTTTGGTATGGAAGGAGCACAAATGAATGTTGGTTTTTGCTAAGACAGGCAGCTCTCGCCTCGACATCTTAGAGCTTTTGCCTAAAAGAGGGCTCTTAAAAACTGGGCTTCCCTGAAGCACAGCCACAGGAGACCGAAGCAGCTCAGAGTCACATACTTGAAGCCGCACGTCCAGTGCTCAGCCACGAGGTTGGGACGCGACACCCCGGTCTCCGCCCAGAGCAGAGGCCACGTGCTCGTGGCCCACGCAGACAGGAGACGCACTGGGTTTGACCTGCCTGGGGTGGCCTGCTTCTTGTTCAGAAAGTGGAATGTGAATGAAATTGTCAACAATTTAAAAAATCAGGAGGTTTTACATAAAATCCGGATATCCAGCTTGTCTTGCAGAACCGGCAACGGTGGCCACACGAAGGGCCTTGCTCTCAGGCAGCGGCTCTCCAGGCAGGCAGCTGCATCTTCCAGGAGGGTGTAGGGACAGTGTGTCACGAGAGTGAGGTCAACCAGGACCATTTTCCTTGAGGTCTTGGCTCCCAGGAAGCACAGAGCCAAACGGTGATGGCAGTTTCCCATCGCCGGAGGTTGTTCTGCTGTGGTTTTTCAGTTTCCACCCGCATTTCATTGTTGGACTCTGGTCATTTTGTTTGTGTTTTGGTGGCTGTCAGTTCTCAGTACCTGTGGCACTTGGGTTTGCGATTTAAAATCTAAGCCACGTCACATCCTTCCTGGAACCGACGTCCTCAGAGGAATTACAGCGTGCCACACAGCACAAGCTCTGGGCAGAGCACAGAGGTCAGCTCAGGCCTCCCTGCCGCTCTGAGATTTAGGAAACCTTTGGGTCAAGCCCCCCAGTTCTCCCACACACAGGCAAGCCTTCCCACCCTCTGGTCTCTCGTGGTCCCCACCGTTTTCAGGTCTTGGCCCTCGTACATCATCTCTGGGTGGCCTGGTGGGAACCCAGACGGAAACTCAGTCCCTTCCCTGGTTTCCCCCTAAAACCACTTGCACCACACAAGGAAAGAGTTGAAGGAGAATTTCCTGAAGATTTGGGGGTGGGGGGTGAGGAAGGCCGCCTCTCCCCAGTTACCCCTTTCCTTCTTTCTCCGCACTCCACCCTATCTAGAATTCCCCCAGAAAGTGCAGGGCAGCTTTCCCTACACCAGCTCTGGAGACCTGCCAGTCCCTGTCCCCACAGAGCTCAGCTCACATTCCTGCTTTAACAAAGCATTTTTGTGACTGTCGGTTAAGGTCAGTTTCAACTACACAGTAAAGGAAAACCCCAAAGAGATGTTCATTTCCCTCTCTAGTAGAGGAAGCCTGAATGAAGGTCGTCAGGTGCTCCACAAAGCATCAGGGAGCCAAGCCTCTACCTGCTCCATGCTCTGCCATCCCTAATACCTGACTCATGTGGTCCAAGATAGCTGCTGGAGTTCCAGGCATCACATCCATGTTTCAGGAAGCACAATGAAGGAAGGCATACCTCTTTCCTTTTAAGAAGCCTTCCTGGAAACCCAACATGACACTTTGATTTCTATGTCCTTGTCTACAAGTTAGCCACATGGCCATGCCTAGCTGCCAGGGCCTGTAACTAGACAAAGGGGAAAATGGGTATTGGGAGACAGCTCAGTTTCAGAAACACGGTCCAGAACCCTCTCAACCCCAGAGGATCCCAGGTGTTAGCTGTTAAAAGTGAGGAGAGTTGTTGTACAGACCACCAAAGCATCGTTGGCAGTGAAGTTTCCTATGCCCTACATGGGGAGGCCAACTCCCCTACAGCTGACAGGCTCCTGGAGCACAGAGGCAAGAAGAGGTCACCCCCTGGTTGCAGAAACTCTTGCCCAAGCTGGCCCTGAGCTGCATGAGCCTTCGAGAATGGGGAAGGGATTTATGGAGGCAGAAAAGAGGCAGACGAGAATTCCAAACCCAGGGAACAGCCCAGCTGAGGCAGAGCAAGCGTTTCCTGGGCTGCTGGATGCAGGCAGCCCCATCTCGAAATGCCCCACTGGTGATTCTAGGGAGTAGGGTTTGAGGAGGGAGATGACACAAAAGGTCTCTGGGGTTGGGAACTTCCCTGAGTCTGGGGATTTGACCAAGAATCTAAGCATAAGTAGAGATTAACAACTGGACGACCTGGGAGCGCAAGGCAAGTCAGGGTGGGGAGGGGAGAGAATCAGTTGCCTCCCTCTCTAGTTGCTGCCGTGTGGGAGTGGGGCCCAGTGATGCCAGATCCTTCTATGTTTTAAGAAGCCAGAAGTCCAGATTTGGATACAAAATCTCCCAGTGTGTAAATGGGGTTCCGAAAACAAATGGCCCACAAACGTGGTGTGAACGAAGCAAAACACATCTGTGAGCCCCTGGGCTCCTGCCGACCAGCTCTGGACCCTGACTCACACAGCAACCTGGTTCTCGTGGGGAAAGCTTTAGTGGGCATTCTGTCCGAGAGAAGGGCTGTGTACAAAGTGTACTCAAGGTACATTTCTCCTCTGGCTCCCTCCCAAAAAGGTCAGAGGATTCAAATCAAATTCAGATTTGTAGGTAAAAAGAGAACTATTGGCCATGGAAGCCAAGAGATTCTCACTAACGGTCTTGTTTTTCCACATCAAGATGTAGAGGCCTGTAGAGGAGAAGAGGCTTGTCCAAGGTCACAAAGCCATTTGGGCAGAGCTTGGACCCAAACTTGGGGTTCTGACTCCCAGCACAGTGCTCCCTCTATCAGGGGGCCTAAAATAGAAGGCTGACCTTTTTGTGGTATTTCTGTGCTTGACACATGCCAGAGTTACTCATGAGTTCATCTTCCCAGAATAACTGGCAAAACGGGGCCAGAGGGCAGCAGGAAGACCCTGGGCTGCCCCTGTGAAACCCACGCTCCTGGAAAGCAGGGGATGGGGCTCGCCGTCGGTGTGGGCCTGCCTGCTTCAGGAGCACCCGCTGGGCCCCAGCTTTGGGGAGGCTCTTAGTGGGCCCAGGGGAGAGGGCTCTGGAGGCCAGAACGGATCCTAGGGGTGTGTTAGGGACCCGGGAGCTTGAGCCTGTCCAGCTCGTACCCCAGCTCATGCCCCCGGTACAAAATAATAATCATCGTAGGAATCTTGAAAAAATTCAGACAAGCACAAAAACTAAAACGAAAACTCACGTAATAAAACCACCTGGTTCTCCCATGACTTTAGCTTGGATCCCTGCACTCTGCTCTGCTCCACGCAAGGAGGGAAGCAGAGCCTGATGTTTTTTTTCTTTTCTTTCTTTCTTTCTTTCTTTTTTTACGACAGTAGGAACATGTGGGACATGCTTTTTCTAATCTTTTTTCGCTTACTGCCTCGAGCGTTTTCCTCCGCACTTAATCTTCTCTCTCACCAGCATTTTTAACCCCAGCAGAGGATTTCACCACCTAGACTTATTCGAATTCATTTGGCCTTCCGCCGACCACTGAGCATGTTGGCCTTCCAGCTCCCTGGTACATACACATACCAGTGCTTTTGAACATTGGTATCGTTTGCTCTGGGGATCTGTCCACAGTGCCTTCCACAGCATAAAGTTCTAGACGTGGACTCAGATGGTGTGAAAATCGTATGGCCTTTGATACACATTTCACGGGCTGTTTTTGACACATACTTGGGGAGAGTCAAGAATTTTATCTGCTGGAGAAGATCTCAGGGAGGCCTCTTTGTGCCCTTGTCCC